TCCAGTGTAGTGCAGTGGTTTGAATGTTGGACTAGGACTCTGGAGACCAGGGTTCAAATCCCTGGTCAGCCATGGAAACCTACTGGGTGACCTTGGGCAAGTGACATGCTCTCTGCCTCAGAGGAAGGCAATGGGGGAAAAATCTTGCCAAGAAACTCCTTTGGGTTGCCAGAAGTCAGAAATGACTTGAAGGCACACAACAATAACAAAATATATTTAGGATTGCATTGCACCCTATTTTAGAGTCTAATCAAACTGGATAAAATAAATGCCATTTTAAATCTATCCCAGTGCTTTGCAGTCATGGACCATTCTCAAAAGTACAGTGGCCATTGGAATCCACTGGGCTTTGGCTCCAGCCTACCCCCCACTGTAGATATGAAAATCCATGGATGCTCAAGTCCCATTAAATATAATGGCATAGTGAAACGGTATCCCTTATATAAAATGACAAAAACAAGTTTAGCTTTTGGAACTTATATTATTTCTGAATATTTTCAAGCCATAGATAATTAAATACATGGATAAAAAAAAAATCCATGGATATAGAGGGTCGACTGTAAGGAAACAATGGGGAGGGAGGGGTGACATCCATTCTTGAGCAACACCTCACACAATGTTTTAATTCCTTTCCTCAACAATTATTAAATCAATAATGGCCTTTCATTTATGAAATTGTAGCTCAGGGTGCCCACTTTGTACATGCATTGCTATTGCCAAAAGAGAGAGAGAGAGAGATACCAGTATCAGCAATAAACTTTTTAACAAACATATGCTAACCTTCAATCCCTTTCTTTTTCTCTTTCTCTTTCTTTCTCTGTGAATTAATGAAAGACTGGACTTGTATACAGATAATTCAGATTATACAACACCAACTTCAAAGGTTCTGTCCATATAGCTACAGTCAAATGTAAGGGTTCTATTGTCCAGTATCTGTTGATCATAAAAAGAGCAATGTACACCAAATCCTCTCATGCACTTCCTCTCCCTTGTCTTATCTGTTACAGGTAAACATAAAAACTTGTGAGTAACAATAAGATCCCATCAATCTTGGACTTTACTAGTACTTTATGGCTCTTTGTAAACCTAGCAATTAACTTTTGTCAAGCTTTGTAAAAGCATTTAGAGTGTCTTACTGACATCTGTGTTTAAAACTACATTATTACCTTTTAAATACAGGACACCTAGTTCTATCATTGTATCCCACAAAGGCTCAGGTGTTAAACCTTTACAAACATCATACCAAAAAAGGAGGAGAGAGATAGGCATGTCTGGAATTGGTCATAGGTAGTTTATGGATTTAATTTCTTTTGGGAAATAAAGGATGACTTCCAAAAAAAAAAAAGTGACATGAGTACAGAGCTTGTGTAATCTCCTTTTGCAGTGATTTTTCTTTGATTGATGTGCCATTAATACTTTAATTGGTAACAGGTGCAGCTGATTGTTAGTTCCTAATCTAAAAAATATGAAATTGAACATAAGGCTCTGATAAATTAATAAACTCCTCTTTTCTAAACAGTTGTTGCTAGGGAGGAACTAACTTTCCATGAAGTACTGCTCCATCAAGCACACTGAATTCTTTATGTTAAAAAGCAAAGTGTTGTTTAATGATAAATTAAAATTACACTAACAGGCAGAGAGAGAACATAATAATGACACCCCCTTAAGGAAAAGAAATGGATGGAAAGAAGAGAAGAAAATGTGTTGGCATCATTCTGAGCATTAGGACATATCTGTGGGTTTGTATCTGGTTATTAAAAACATCTTGTTCTATAAAATATAAATACACCATGCAACTGGAAGTGAAGTAGGGGAAAGAAAGACTATAAGTAAATGAAGTTCTTAATCTATTTTTGGCCTTTCCATCACTGTCAGAAATTTGTGGCAGCAAAAACCATGCTTAAGTATTCAATTGGCTCTGAAAATTCTATAAAATTGATGGGGTGGCCATAAGTTGACAGACAGCTTGAAGGTGCACACACACACACACACCCTATGGTTGCAGGTATACCTCAGATAACAAAGTAGATATGTTCCTGAGCATAACATCTTTAGCGCAAAATTTAATCCCTCTGGCAGAAATACCAGGATAAAAATAGGAATAGGTTCCTGCACCACGTTTCTGCAATTTTTAAACTGAAACTAATAAGCTTATCACACGACACAAGAACAGAAACAGAAGGGAAGGGAAGGGAAGGGAAGGGGGCAAAAACACATTTTACTGGACAGGAGAATGCCACCAATGCTGCCGGGAGTCCCCAAGGCATTCCCAAGCCATTCCTGGCAGCCGATTTTGAAGAACAATTTTGAACCATCCTTCAAAAATCAGCTGTCAGGAATGGCTAGGGAGCGCCTTGGGAACTCCCGGCAGCATCAGTGGTATTCTCCTGTCCAGTAAAATGCATTTTTACCCCATTCCATTCCCTTCCATTCCGTTCCATTCCCATTCCTTAAGTGCCAAGCAATAAGTTTATAACATTAAGCACATGTGAAATGAAGCAACCAGTTTAGGTAAAAACTAAACAAAAACACTTTGGATCTTCTGGAGATTACCTGAAAGCTTCTTCTACAATACATCCAGGAATGATTTTTTTTCCTTTCTTTCAACACCCTCCATTTTTCTTATGATTTCCATTTTGGTGGTAAACCTAACAGGCCTATACTTTTTTAACATGTGAGAGGTGGTGGGTGAGGCAGAATTAGCTCCTATCCCACTTTTTCTCTATTTTGCTGTTTATGCATGCTCCATAAAGGACTGTAGATGCTACTGCTGTTTACCTTGCATGTTGTAGGAATGCACACAGCTACAATGGGATAAGTTAGAGTAGAATCCCCTTATTTTCACAGTTCAAGCTTTATTACATTGTTTACTGCAGATACATTGCTGCATCCCAATGCCCAAAGTGTGTTTCTCTAGGTTTTCAGCATTCTCCCAGTGCCAAGGCTGCTAGAAAACTTCTGTCTCAACAGAGGACAAGGAAGAAATAGGGACTGGTCAAGCACAGAAAAAGACTTTGTTTAAAAAAAAGAGTTTCTTGTCAGAGGCTTTGTTAATTTAGGTATGGCTGCAAATCCAGAAAAAACAGAAGATATGATTAATCAAGAACAACTGATTTGGGTAGGACTGCACCAAATCTCAAAGAGCAGATACCACCTTCAGGATACTCTTTGGCCTCTCATTTTCCTTTGATATTCAGCTGTTGGAACTTGCCTGTGGTGGGGATTTTGTTCCCATTTTTATTAGACTTTACCAAAATATACAAAATTCAGCATAAAAAATGTCAGATTTTAAAATTTTAGATGAAGGAAAAATGGAAACGGACGGATTTGTCCATTGAGGCCCAAGATTTTGTGTCTTTATCTTTGTGAGTCTTTCACCATATTAGTGCTGATTTAGTCTTGCCCTCCCCTTTTTTCCTGAGAATCTTCTGATTTTTATGAACCTCATGCTAGACAGGTATAACATGATTCCATACTTTAAATAGCTGTGAATATGGCCAGTCCAAAGTGGGGGCAAGGCTGAGAGTATTTCATTTCAGTTTCTTTTTGAATAATATACCACAATTCACCAGTGCTTTTGCATTCTCACTGGAAAAAAAATTGAGCTTGGGGGGAAAAAATCAAATATGGAAGAAAATAAATCTGACAGATTCTAATCCAGGAGTGCCTTTTATAGGCTTCACTTCTTATGTCAGCTGTAGACTTGCCTCCAAAATGGAAGACTTTCCATGATGGTAGTAGGACACTGGAAGGTTGTCTAAGGTGCATCTATGCTATATAGTCGTTTGACACCACTTAACAGTCATGGCTCCATCCTATGCAATCCTGGGTATTGTAGTTTTACAAAGTCTTTTGCCTTCTCTGCCAAAAAGTGCTGGTGCCTCACAAAACTACAAATCTCAGGATCCCACATGATGGAGTCATTCATGGCAGTTAAAGTGGTGTCAAACTGCATTATTTCTACAGTGTAAATGCATTCTATGATGCATGTTGAATTATTTATATTCTCTATGCCAGGTGGATAATAGCAAAACTGTTTGGGAACAGCTTCATCAAGGAAGAAACCTTACACAGGGAGAATCAGATTAACTATTCTTGAAAAAGAGAAACATAAAAAGAGAAAACATAATTGTAATATCAGGTACCTTGCACCTTGAACATATAGTTGGCAGGCATGGAATCTGGAAGACTATAGATCAAGTTGACAATTCATATTTATGGAATGCCTTTTGACCACCAAAGGAATAGAGATTTTGAACAAACCCTAGTTGATTACAGAAGCCGATCTCTGGGTCAAATGTTAACATATTCTCCCTCTCAGAATGTAGCATCAGAACTGCCAAACAGACCTTATAATCAGCTTAGCAGTAAAATAGTTGGAAAGTTATTTGAGAATGAAGCTATAACATAAATGCAAGTCATTATCACCATGTAATGCATTTCTTTCCATATGTGTGGATAATTCCCATTAGCATTGGTTCTTTCCATGCATCAAAAGAAGAATAAAATACCTCCACAAAACAATCCTTAATGTGGGAAATCTGGAATGTTAGGGGAATGTCATGAAAAAGGTACAGGAGGACTTCCTAAATGAGAGGCAGAGGCAGTTTATGGAAGCAGAGAGCACCCTTGTTCCTCATCATGAAAGAACAGAAGGCATAGTGTTCATCTACCTCCTGTTGCCATCAGGCAGAGATCATGATGCTTCTACATGTTGGCCATAGATGAGGATGAGGAACAAAGCTAGTTTTCAATGCACACTATTGCATAGCGACTGGATCTAGGAGTCCTTGCCATAGCCTGGCTATTTAACTATCCATTCAACAAACGAAACAAAAACTACAAATATTGTCTTCATTTGTAAATCTGGCAACACCTAGCTACTATGCCACACTGGCTCTGGGGCCACCCCAATTCCTCCAATAGACTTTTTTTTAGTTCCCCCACCCACATGGGAAGATCCACTCCAATGTTCCCTGTTTACCAGAGACAGTCTCTGCCTTTCTGGAAATCACTGTCCACTATTTTAAGTACCTTGTTGGAGATTTCTTGCTAGAGATGACTGAGATCTTTGAAT